AAAAGCAATAGAAGTGATCAGCACAACCAAAAGATGACTTTTTGAAAAGACTAATTAAAAAATGCTAATTTTTGGCAAACAAAAGAAAAATATATGACACACAAATGAACAGCACCAGATATGAAAAAAGGTAAATAACTACAGAAATAGAAGATGTTTTAAAAATTATGAGACTTCCACTAATAATTTCATACCAAAATATATGAATACCTGAAGGTAGAGGAGAGAAAGACCAGGTATTCATATTTTTTGGTATGAAGTTATTCATGGAGGTTTTTATAATTTTAAAAGTCTGTCTTCTGTTTCTGTAATTATTTCCCTTTTTTAGAAAAAACATAAAGTACATCTCTATAAATTTTGAAGTAAATAAAAATGTCTCGAGCAGTACCAAAGACTTCTGAATACAGCCGAAAAGATTGATAAATTAGAATATATTAAAATTAAGAACTGTTCACAAAACACTTCATTGAGAAGGCAACTCATAAAGTTGAAGAAGACATTCATAATTACATGTATCTAACAAAGTACTTATATGCTGAACATATTTGCAGAGCTCCTGCAAATCAGTAAGAATGAAAGACAATCCAAGAGGGAAAAAAAAGGCAAGGGAGGGGCAAACAATTAGAACAGATATTTCACAAAAGAAGATATTCAACTTGGCCAGTAAACATATAAAAAGGTGTTCCTCTTCATTAGTCATCAGGGAAATGCAAATTAAAACCACAATGACATACCACTGCACACCTACCAAAACGGCTAAAATTTTAATAATGGAAAATGCCAAGGATTAGTGAGAAAGTAAAGCAACCACAACTCATACATTGCTGATGGGAGTATAAATTGGCACAACTACTTTGGAAACTATTTTGCTCTACCTATTAAAACTAAATATACACATACTCTTTGACCTGGCAATTCTACTCCTAGTAGTTCTATTCCCACCGAAATGTGTAGTTATTTCACTAAAAAACATGTTCCAGAATATTCAAAATATTTTTATCAATCATACACAAAAATCAGAAATTATCCAGATGTACACCAACAATAGAATGAATAAATTGTCAGCATGGTCTACAAGAACATGTAAAAATACTCTATGATTCAATGTCTATTCAATAAATAGGAGAAACTAATCTATGCAAATAGAAGTCAGGATAGCAATAGTCTTGTTGAGTAGAATAGTGGCTGTAAAGTAAAACTGGGGGTTTCTCGGGGCCCAGTAGAATTCTGTTTCTTGATGTGACCGCTTCTTTCACATGTTTATTCAGGAGGGCTGTGACCAAGACAAAGCAAGCAAGATGTCCAGGGGGCAAAATTTAAGAAGGCCTTTACTCTTGGCACCTGAGATTTTCCTTTAAATATGTTCTCTAGGCACCTTGCTTATATTACCCTCATCTCAGCTCTAGTATTCAGCTTGTGAATATTTATTGAGCTGTATAATTATTATATACATTTTTTACTGTATGTTTATTGTACTTGAATTTAAAAATGTTAAGGAGGTCTGGTCTATTTCATTCCATAAACAAAAATAAACTTTAAGTGGATTAAAAACCTAAATGTAAAAAGAAAAACTTTAAAACTTTTAGAATAAAATATGAGAATATTATTAATGACTTCAGATAGAGAATTCCTTAAGGATCTCCAAATGCACATATTAAAGGAAAAGATTAGACTATATTAAAATTTAAAACTTATGTTTATCAAAAGACTTCTTAAAGAAAGTAAAAAGATGAGCCACAAACATGAAAAAAAAGTACTGCAACATAAATGAGTGAAAAAGAATTATTACTAAGCACATATTTTTTAAACCACTGAGGAAAAGATAGACAAATGCATGAAAGACATGAACAGCTATTTAATATGAGAAAAATAGGCTGGCCAAAGAAAAGACGCACAAACATACAAATAATCAGGAAAATTCAAATTAACATCATGAGGCATTACCATTTCATATCTAGCAGACTGGCAGAAAACATACACTCTGACAATAAGTGTTGGCAAGAATGTAGGGCTCACTCTTCCACTGTTGGTAGTGGGTTAAGTTGGTAAGATCACTTTGGAAAACAGTTTTGCATTACCTAATAAAGTTGAAAATACACAAGCCTAGAACTATTTCATACATTCCCAAGAGACCTCTTTGACAGGTATATGGGAGGTATGCACATGAATGTTTATAACAATGAAAAAGAATGTCTATCAAGTGTCTATCAAGAGTAGAATACAGCGGTGAAAACGAAAGAAAACAACTACACACAACGGCTAAATCTCAATTTTGAGGTTCAAGCAAAAGAAGAAACTCATAGAAGAATACCCAGAATATGATTACTTTGATATAAAAATTTAAAATGAGTAGATGTATTCATCCATGGCAAAACTATAAAGAAGAACAAGGGAAAGGTAATCATGAAGATCAGGAGAGGGGTTACCTTGGGGGTGTGCAATGAGGAAGGGGTACATGGTGGTTTCTAAGGTAGTAGCAATGTTCTACATCTTGACCTAAATGGAGGATATATGGAGGTTCTCATTATTCTTTAAACTGTACATATTATTTTTATGTACTCTACTATATGCATGGTATATCTCAAAATGAAATTTTTAAAGAAATAAAGGTTCTACATATGTATACACATGTATGAATGTGTGTGTGTGTGTGTGTGTGTGTGTGTGTTTTCCATGTATTCCATTAAGAAAAAAAAGGAATCCTTAGAGGTAAAGTGACAGTGACCACTTCACTAGACTTACTAAATTCTCCCATATGTTTGGCTGGCTGAGAGAGGAACTTCAATCAACTGAGTTTACCACAAAGTCCAGATCCTTGTACATATAATTCCAACTAAAAGTATGCTTGGAAAGGATTATCACATTTCTTATTTAATCTGTCAGTTGAACTATGCATTCTTTGTCTGTCCTGCTTTCATTTGGTAAAAAAAGAAAGAAATTCTTAATTAAAAGATAAAAATCTAACCAGGTTTGGAGTAATTCACTTTGAAAGGCCAAGGCAGGAGGATCACTCAAACCCAAGAGCTCAAGATCAGCCTGGGCAACAGAGGGAGACCCTGTCTCTACAAAAAAATAAAAAATTAGCTCAGTGTGGTGGCATACAACTATGGTCACAGCTACTCTGCAGGCCGAGGTGAAAGGATCACTTGGGCTTAGAAGGTCAAGGCTACAGTGAGCTGTGATTGACTACTACACTCCAGCACGTTAGCCTGGACAACAGAGCAAGACTCTGTCTCAAAAAAATAAAATACAAATAAAAACCTAGCTGAGGCCCAGCGTGGTGGCTCATACCTATAATCCCAGTACTTTGGGAAGCCCAAGTGGAAGGATTGCTTGAGCCCAGGAGTTTGAAACCAGCCCTGGCAACACAGTGAATGAGACCCTTGTCTCTACAAAAAATTTAAAAATAAAAAATTAGCTGGATGTGGTGGTATATGCCTATAGTCCCAGCTACTCAAGAGGCTGAGGTAGGAGGACTGCTTGATAAGTTGAGGCACCAGTGAGCCATGGTTGTGCCACTGTACTTCAGCCTGGGCAACAGAATGAGACCCTGTCTCAAAAACAACAACAACAACAAAAATTGCTGAAACATTCTTTTCTTAGCCTTCATTTTTTACCCTTTCTATGTTAGCTGTATCTTCCTTGAGTAAAATTGGAAGAGGAAAATTGCAACAAAATCCAAAGACATTTTTATGTTTAACGTCGAGAAAGCACTAAAAATGAAAAGCAACCTGTTGCTTGTTTGGCTATATTATTTATATTAATGGAATTAAAACTAGAACAACTAGAACCTCTTTTTAATGTATTAAACATAATACAGAGTTAAAACTAGAAGGAACCTTCAGAAGTTAGCTAGTACAGTCATCTATCTTTGAGTAAGACAAATTATCTTAAGCAAACAAGTTATCATACTAATCTTAAAATACCTCCTGAAAAGATCTTATAGCATCCCTTCCTACTGAAATTTTTTCCCTCTAACTTGGAACTCTTTTAGCACAATGTCGGTATCAGTTAACATTATTATCTAGACAACAGCCAGTTAAGGGTATGGAGTTAGATAGGGCATAATGGGACCCTAGAAAGAATCTAACTCCAAGTCTTTATTGGTGGAAAAGGGAGGATAAAGAGCTCAGAGACCTGACAGTTTGGCTCCACTGGCTCCAACCCCACCAACCACCTGACTATCCCCAGTGATTTAGACCCAAAGCTTGTCTCCCTCTACATAACCAGAAGTTGATTATTACTTGTTTTTACTCTGACTTGGGTTTATCCATAAAATTTATCTTCCCCAACTTCTCCCATCCAATTATCCCAATATTAAGAACTGATTTATATTTCCAATGAGTATGAATAAATACCAAGAATATTTTTCAATACTAAAAATATGTCATTTATAAATGTAGAAAAGAAAACCTCAAATTTTCTAAATTTATATTGTTAATAAAATAAATATATTAGAAAATCTTTTTTATTCTAGTTACAATTTCTTCTAATAAAGTACATTTCCTTTTAGAAGATTAAACTGTTTTAGAATAAAAACTATTTAACGTTAGAGGCTAGTCTTGTTTCTTTTCTTTTTTTGGTGGGGGGGGGAGGGGATGGAGTCTTGCTCTGTCGCCAGGTTGTAGTGCTGTGGCATGATCTCAGCTCACTGCAACCTCTGCCTCCTCGGTTCAAGTGATTCCCCTGCCTCAGCCTCCCAAGTAGGTGGGACTACAAGTGCGTCCCACCATGCCCAGTTAATTTTTTTTTTTTTTTTGTATTTTAGTAGAGAGGGGGTTTCACCATGTTGGCCACAATGGTCTTGATCTCCTGACCTCGTGATCTGCCTGCCTTAGACTCCCAAAATGCTGAGATTACAGGTGTGAGCCACTGTGCCCAGCCTCGTTTCAGTTTTTATAGTTGGCACACTACATGTGTAGACATGCCCTGGGTAGAAACTGAAAAATATCAATTGTGTTTAACTGACACAATAGAAAATTACTAAAGCTTTGCCTTACATGGTCATTGCATTCTTCCTCATCACAGTCTAGACCCTGATGGGCGATCTCAGCAGTGCTGTTCTCCTGAAACAGATTGTTCTTCAAATCTGTCACTTTGGTAGCCTCTGTTATGACTTTTACTTTCATCCTATGAAAGCCAGTGGAGACAAATCCGACTTGCAGGTTGATAGGCTCCCTGTCAAACAGCAGGAACTGTGAATCCACCCCTTCTTTAAAACCGGGGGGTTGGTAATCATGTGGGGTCACTGCAAAATGAAAAGGGCAAAAAGCCATGAAAACTGAGCTTAAACAGAACAAGTTAGATTAATCTTTCATGTGTAGCAACAGACATCTCTTTCAGATGCTTGCAAAATCCTTCTACTTATATAAAATATTAGTTCAGCAATTACTTCAGCAATAAGAAGGAATTAGCCTAAAGTTTTCTACCTACCTGCATTATAGTAGTGCAGTTTCATAGTAAGTACAGCATTATTAGGAAGTGGTTCAAGGTCCTGCATCAGTATATACAATTTACGAATCAGTAGAACACTGGCTTTCTTAATATCTTCATTGTTTGTTCCACTTTCAAAGCTTGTACTGCTGCTACAACTACATAGGAAAAAAGCATACTTTTCAATCATATACAATATTGACAATCTATGTCAAAAGGAACAAAACTTTTGACTATGTGATTAAATATAAATTAAACATTAGGACATTTTGAGACATTTTTAGAATGTAAATTAGGAGAGGGATGGTACTTTTTGCAATGTATATACAAAGAATTTCTTAAGTAGCAAATTCCCTAAAAATATTTAAAATATGATCTTTTAAAAAAATTGATTAGCAAAAAATCATATACCACAGTAGTAAGAACAATGAATTTTGAATTAGGTGACCTGGCATCTAATATCAGCTCTGCTGCTACCTAGCTGAATTACCTTGGTCAAGTCATTTAGACACACTCTAGGTCAGTTAGCTCATTTGTGAGATAAGTGTAAGGACATTTCTACAACTCTCAAGCATAAAATCCATCACCAGTTCTGGGCCTTTCTACCATCTGATTATCTCTCAAAAGTATCCCTTCCTCACTCTTGTGTTGATTACTACTGTGGCTATTTTTCCTGTTTTCCTTCTTGTCCACACTGCAAAATCTTCTCCATATCACTGCTGAAATAATATTACTAATAGGAATCTGCTCATGTTACTTCTTACTTAAAAGTCTTCTATTATATCCATCGCCTTTCAATCAAACTCAGGGTGGTATACAATTCCTTTCACAACCTGTCACATTGTCACCTCCATCCTCATCTGCAGCTACTACCCAGTTTCCTCTCACTCACAATATTTGCATATGCTGTTCACTTTGCTTGTACTGTGCTTTTCCACTTCTCTTCCTGATCATCCTAGATTAATCCTTTAATACCTAGCTCATATGCCACCTCTTCAAGGAAGTCTTCTCTGACAATACCATCAACTTATCCTTAGAATAACTGTTTGTCTTCTAGACCGTGAGTGGCTATATCTTTCATCTCCACAGTACAGAGTTTGGTGCCCAGCTATTCAATCAACATTTGTTGAATTAATGAATAAATGAACAATTTGGACTAAATTACCTTTCAATTCTAAACTTTGTTTATTTATCTCCTTTCTTCCCCAGTTAGTCTCACATTTGAGTAGTTTCCAGGAAGGACCATGACTACAATGTATTTATACAGTGCCATTAACAAAGTTAGCTCTTAATATGAAAAATAAACCTAAGTAATTAAACCGTTAGATTTTTCCCTAACTGATCTTTGCAGGCAGTGTGAATTCACAAAGCAAACATTTATTAAGTGAATACATTAGCTCCTTTTCCAATTTTGAACAACTTAAAGATTTACCAACCAAGATTTAACCAATTCAAATGTAGATAACCAGAGTGAAGGGCTATAGGCATGTAGCTCATGGGATCCTACAGGATACATCAGTAAAATCATATTCAGAACTCCCATTTAAACAAAGGCCTATCTTTCTTCTCTAGGAAATCAATAATATGCATTACTTTCTCTCCTCCTTATTATATGAAAGATCTGGCTATTTTTATTTTACTGCTTACCTCCTGGCATATGTGCCTTCAGAACAAAAGAGTTTAATCTGGCCATCAGCATATATTTGAGTTTTGGAGAATAAAAAGTAACTTTTTATGTGAGAAAGTATGTATAAAAAGTGCTGCTGTCTAAGCTGTAAAGTATTCTACAATGTTAGCTAATAAAAGGTAATATTTTAATTCTCATTTTTGGAACTGATTTTCTCTTCACATCCTAGTGCTGTCTGTAGATTTCACAAATGGAAGGATAATTAAGGGAGTGAATCTTGGAGAAAAGTCCTCAAGCTCATGGTAAATGATGAGCCAGGGCTAATAGTAGGGAAAATTGAAAATTAGGCCATGTCTCTCATCCTTCCTTTCAGGGGCATCCGTCCCCTTTACTTGGATTCCTCTATTATCCAGAGCTTTTCACCATCATCTGTACCATCCATTACTATGCCATCTCATCAGCAATACTTAGCTCTCCATCCCTCCTGGCAGGTCTAAATCCAAAAGCTACTGAGAGAAAAATACCCCATTTCTTTCTTTTTTTTTTGAGACGGAGTTTCACTCTTGTTACCCAGGCTGGAGCGCAATGGCGTGATCTCGGCTCACCGCAACCTCCGCCTCCTGGGTTCAGGCAATTCTCCTGCCTCAACCTCCTGAGTAGCTGGGATTACAGGCACGAGCCACCATGCCCAGCTAATGTTTTGTATTTTTAGTAGTGACAGGGTTTCACCATGTTGACCAGGATGGTCTCGATCTCTTGACCTTGTGATCCACCCGCCTCAGCCTCCCAAAGTGCTGGGATTACAGGCTTGAGCCACCGCGCCCGGCCTACTGGGAGAAAAATAAATGTTGCTCTTCAATGAAACATCTCCATCTGCACTGGGGACCTTCTGAAGCATATGTCCTGGTGTTTCCTATTTAACCCATTAGTATACCTAAAACTTGGAGTTTTCAATGTAATAGGAAAATACAGTGCTTTCTAATCTTTTCATACAAGGACAGATAGAAAATGATATCTATATGACATACTAGGTTGTGCATATAGGCAAGTAGTCCAGAGGTATTATCTACTCCAGGCACAGTCTGGCTATATTGAGCATAGAGAGGATCAGTATCTTGGCATAGCAGTTGAGAAACTTTGGATTAATGGGTAGACAGAGCCTTATGAAGTACTTCAATCAACAGCGTATAGGCAACTTATTAATATAATTTCTACCATTGTGTTGCCTGACATTTTCTCTATTCCCACCAGCTTAATCCACAGATTTCAGGAATGTAAACAATTGTTGCAGCCCCTTTTTATAATAGTGCTTTTCTGTAGGGTTCATGGGGAAATTTGAAAAGAAGTATAAGGCCTTTCTCTGTCCTCAAGAAGCTTACATTTAACCTCAATCCTATATATTTCTCATGTTCATTAAGCAGTTAGATTCTACCTGTCAAAATCCATAGTGGCTCCTTCTTTCATGTATTTGAATTTGAACTGGTACATCTCAGTCACTTTCTACAAAAAACAAAGGAAATAAAGAAAAAATAACAATTTAGAAAAGAAATCCAGAATCTTACCTGATAATAAGGAACATTTTCACTGTGTACCTAATATGCTTCCTATATATCTGTTTCACAGCATCAATTTGTTCAAGAGTAACATCTCCAAATATAAAGACAACCTAGTTTTTTTCCTCTGTGCTAAAAATAAATTAGATGAAAGATACTATTATTACCATTTTAAAGCTGGAAAAATGAAATCACAGAGTCAAGTATCTAACCCAATTAGGTAAATGAACAGTAGAACCACTTCAGAAATCATTCATTCATGTAACAAATATTGTACTGAATGTCTACTTTGTGCCAGGCACTGGAGTCACAGTGGTGAACGAGACAGAAAAGGTCCCTGTTTTTCTGGAATATACAGACAATCCAGTAGGGGAAACAGTCAATAAATAAATAAACAAATGAAATAAGCTAATTCCGATAGTGTAAGTGCTGTGAACAAGAAGCAGATGCTGTGATTGAGAGGTACATGAAGGAGACAAGCGCTGCTTCAGTTAAGGCCAAGGAAGGCCTTGCTGAAGAGGTGAGGTGTGAGTTAAGCCTCAAGGGTCAGTTATGTGCAGATCTTGGGGGTGGGTGCCTCAGGCAGAGGGAACAGCAATACAAAGCCTCTCAAGTGAAAAGGGATGCCTTTTCTAGGATCAGAGACAAGGACCAGTGGCTGGAAACCAGTGAGCAAGGGAGAGAATGCAAGAAATGAGGTTATAAAAGACTTTGGGACCTTGTTGGCCATGGTAAGGGGTTCGGATTTCATTCTAAGTAAGCCAGAAGTCTACAGAAGGGTTTTAAGCAGGTGAGTGATGTGCATTTTTTAAAACATCACCTTGGCTCCTTGAAAAGTGCAGAGGGCAAGAAATAAAAACCATGAGAGCAATAAAGAGGCTACTGCAGTAATTCAGGGAAGACTACAGTGGCAACAGGAAAATTAGAAAAAATTAGAAAAGGAGCGCTGATCTCTGACATCAAGTCTTAGTCTTGTTTTTTCGGTCCTGCACTAAAAACTAGATACTACTGCTCTCTGCTTTCCTCATTGTTAAGAAAACTAGAAATAAAGAGGGACAAATTTCCTCATAAGAGATATATTCTATTTAAAATAAAATGAATGTCTGGCCAAGCACAATGGCTCATGCCTGTAATCCCCGCACTTTGGGAGACCAAGGTGGGCAGATCACCTGAGATCAGGAGTTCAAGACCAGTCTAGCCAACCAACATGGCAAAACCCTGTCTCTACTAAAAATACAAAAATTAGCCAGGCATGGTGGTACATGCCTGTAATCCCAGCTACTCCAGAGGCTGAGGCAGGAGATTACTTGAACCCAGGAGACGTTGGTTTCAGTGAGCCGAGATTGCTCCTATGCACTCCAGCCTGGGTGACGGAGTGAGACTGCATCTCAAAAAATAGAATAGACTAGAATAAATAAATAAATATAAAAATAAGTAAATAAAATAAACATCTAGTAGTTGAAGCAAATGTTTAGCCAATATACGTCATACAGATATGTCCACAGAACTAGAGAAGTACTAATGACAGGTAAAGGGTATAAGCTTAAATCAGAACACAAAAAAATGTCCTTGGCCGGGCACAGTGGCTCACACCTGTAATCCCAGCACTTTGGGAGGCCGAGGCAGGCAGATCACCTGAGGCCAAGAGTTCAAAACCAGCCTGGCCAAAATGGTGAAAGCCCCGTCTCTACTAAAAATACAAAAATTAGCTGGTTGTGGTGGTGCACACCTATAGTCCCAGCTACTCAGGAGGCTGAGGCATGAGAATCAGTTGAGCCCAGGAAGTGGAGGTTGCAGTGGGCCAAGATCACATCACTGCACTTCAGCCCAGGCTACCAGAGAGACTGTCCCTCCATGCTCCCAAAAAAGTCCTTTATTCATCTGGTTCAGTATTTGATCCTTGACAATGGGAGAATGAGGATGTTAGACTGATCAGAAAAAGTCTCAGTGTTTCTGTTACTTTAAGTCTCCCAGTTTTGCTGATCTTAAACCTTAACATGAAACTTAATTACAGGTGATCAGCTCCTGGGAAAACTGGCTCATGCTGCTTAAACTCTAAGGAGATTGATGTGTAATGGAGTTAATTTTAAAAGATAAAAGCATTTTCCTAATAAGACAGTCTACTTGAGAAATCAAATCAAGTTCACAAAACTGTTTTGTAAATACAGTAGGACAGACAGATGAGATTAGAGGTGCCTATAGCAACAGGTTCACTCCAGATAGGCTAGATGAACAGTCCCCTCTTAGCCAATGCTGGGTGTAATTGCTCTGCCAAGCAAACAATGCCCATTCTTCCTGCCTGCCTATGTTTCTCAATCAACTCTAGCTTTTTAATGCTCTGAGTGATCTTTTGTTTTTTAAAACTGTATCAAGAGGAGGTCGTTTTAGTAATTGATAATTGATAATTCAGCCCAGGCTACCAGAGAGACTGTCGCTTTATTATTTGATCCCTGAAGCAACTAATAAAAGAGTTATATTAATAACTGTTTTACAGAAGATGCTAATCCTTAATAACTTTAGTCTAACTCTGGCTTATCTAGGAAGGTATACTTACAGCAGGCACTATTCCTTTTTTTGCTTTTTCATTTTGTTTTGTTTTGTTTTTTGAGACGGAGTCTTGCTCTGTCACCCAGGCTGGGTCAATGGAGCAATCTTGGCTCACAGCAACCTCCACCTCCCTGGTTCAAACGATTCTCCTGCCTCAACCTCCTGAGTAGCTGAGATTACAGGCACGTGCCACCAGGCCTGACTAGTTTTTTGTGTTTTTAGTAGAGACAGGGTTTCACCGTGTTAGCCAGGATGGTCTCGATCTCCTGACCTCATGATCTGCCCGCCTCGGCCTCCCAAGTGCTGGGATTACAGGAGTGAGCCACTGCACCCAGGCCAGCAGGCACTATTCTTAATACCTCATATAACACTTTTCAGACTAATGTGTTGCCTAATAAAGATGAACCATTGAACTGCTCATCAGTGGTTCCTATGAATCATACTAAATCTAGTCACATAGGCCAAAGCAACAGAAACATATGCAGCCTTTCCTTTTCCTTCCATATTCCAACTCACTAGTAAGAATTTTCAGGTCTATCTCTAAAGCAAATCACAAGTCCAGCTGATACTTGTTCTCTGTTCTACTTGTTCTCTGTTCTGTAGCCAAAAGGAGTTTTTGAAAATACAAATCAGACCATGTATTTCCTTTGCCTAAAATTCCCCATTAGCTTCTTACCACCCTTAAAATAAAATCCAAAAGTTATCCGGATCTGCAAGGCCCCACTCATCTATCCCCTGCCTGCCTCTCTGACCTTATTTCTGGCCACTTTCCCTTGCACTCAGCTAAGCTCGAGGCTCATGGCACCTTTTCTGTGCTCAAACACCAATATTCCTTCCTGCCTTAGGGCCTTTGCACAGCCATACTCTGGAACATGCTGTCTCCAGTTAATGATAAGAATAATATTCAGGCACTGCCCTAAATATTTTACATCAGTTCATTCTTGTGTAGCCAACACTTGGAAGCAGACATTATTATTCTCATTATTGATGAAGATAGTAAAAGATAGAACTGCAATTTGACTCCAGTGCCTGTGACGTTAACTATGGTGTTATCTGGCCTGTCACATGCCATTGCCCCTCACAGACTTGCATGGGCTGACTCCTCCTGTTTATTCATCTTAGCTCAAACAGTAGCCTGCCAGGGACGCCTCCTAGGAACTGCCTAATCTAACACAATCATCCAAACCCTCCTTCTTCATTCTCCACTTCAGCACTCTCTAGCACACCACCTGTTAAAAAAATTTCTTCATAGCACTATGTCTATGTGAAATTATTGGTACTAATTTTTATTTACTTATTTATTGTTTATCCTACCTCATAAGAATGTAGGCTTCTAGAGAGCAGGGATCTTGCCTATCCCATTCACGCCTGTATTTTTATACCTTAAACAGTGCTAGGCATATAAAAGGAACCCAATTAATATTTGCTGAATGAATAAATATTTGGCCAGGGTAGAATTCATGCTTACTTAGGATTTCATCCTATAAGGATTTTTTCTGAAATAAAGTATCTAAACGTATATTGTGGCTAGAAACAGAAACCACTTATAGTTAAGTTCATGAAGCAGTCTATTAAAAGTGAGTGTTGGCCAAGTGCAGTGGCTCACACCTGTAATCCCAGCATTTTGGGAGGCTGAGGCAGCAGGATCCTTTGAGACCAGCCTGGACAACATAACTCCATGTTTACAAAAGTTTTTAAAAATAACTGGGCATCATGGTGAACAACTGCAGTCCCAGTTTCTTGGGAGGCTGAAATAGGAGGATCGCTTGGGCCTAGAAGGTCAAGGCTGTCATGAGCCAAGATCGCACCACTGCACTCCAGCCTGGGTGAAGAAGGGAGAGCCTGTCTCTTAAAAAAAATAAAAAATAAAGAGTGTTGACCACCTTCAATGGTAAATAGGCAGAAAGGATTAGATAATGAAACCATAAGATTTATGCCTTCACAATATTCATATATAATAATTATATATGGTTGTACATGCATTAAGCTATGTAAATCTTTCTTATTTACATTTTGGTTTACATGTTTTACAAATACTTGCTTACTCATTTTGTAGTGTGTGCCTATAGAACAGCTACACTATCACTCTTCACTACTTTAGTACTTAGTTTACTTAGCTACTTAGTTACTTTGTTGGTCATCTCTTTCATGAGATGGAACAACCAGAACAAAACTTCAAGCCCTGAAGCACCCCAACTTTGTGCAATGCTGAAAACTCTGTTGGCCTTCTGAACCAAGGAAACACACTTGTTTGATTTAAGCCAGAGGTTCTCAATTGTTGCACCATGACATACTCTTCATGGTACAATTTTAATCCACGTGTCTAGTGTATTTTTGCTTCAGGCATATATAAACATTGTTATTGTTTGTGCAATTTTGTTTAGAAAAGGTTATACTTCTAGGCATACAACTCAAGAAACATGGCATCATATGAGATAAATGCCAAAGACTATGTTTATGTTAGAAAATTGTTTTGTGAATACATAAGAGAATGAGATCAGGGAGGTAAATAGTTGTATCAATGACTTGATGCTAAATAGCAACCCTAAAACAATATAACTTGTGGATGCTTTTTAGGACCTACGAACATGGCTATACCACAGTAGTAGTCACATTGTAATTATTACTGACTTGTTTGGGTTCTTTTGAGTGTTTTAGAATCACCCAACATACTACCGAAATTTTTAGTAATAGAAAGTATACCCTGAACATATAGAGGTTAGGGATCACTACCTACCTGTAAAAGGAACACTCTGTAAACATTCACAATATGTTTTCCTGAGTCATAAACAATAGCTCAAAACTTACCACACAACAAGCTTTTGTTTTCTAACTTCATTACTATATATGCCTGCGTTTCTTCCCACTCTGTAACATTTTCTTGTAATTAAGCTCAATTTGCTTAGCATTTCACTACCTCAAAAAACCCTGGTTTCAAACTAGGAAGTTTTCATGCATAAGAAAACATGATAAATACTACACTAAGAAAATGACAAATTTAATAACTATTAGAAGGTTTTATTTTGGGAAACTTCCCTTCAGACTTAGGGTGTGCTGGGAAGCATTTTGAAATGAAACAAGAGACAAAGGTAATAAAAGATAGAACTAGTTTGGGCATTGAGGAATTGTTACATACTATATGCAACAGTTTTCTTACCCCTCACTTAAACAGCTTAATATTCTTGCTAAGAAAGAACATTAAGAGCTAAAAATGCATAATTAAGTCTAGAATACCACCAGTTAGGCTAAATGTGTAGGCTTAGAGCAGGAAAATTGAAAGCAAAGAAAAAGTAAAGAAAGTTACACATCATCTTGCAAAGAAAGAATATTAAGAGCGAAAACCGCATAATTCAGTCTAGAATGCCACCAGTTAGATTAAATATGTAGGCTTAGAGAAGGAAAATTGAAAGCAAAGAAAAAGAAAGCTAGGAGAAAGACAAAGAGAATAAAGTGAGAAGAGAACAGAAGGTTCCTCCCTCCATTTCTGTGCCACAGCCACATTCAAAGTGGCCCAAGTAACTATTATGTGTCCAGGATTATGATATTCACTCTGGGAGACAGAAAACAAGACAAGACTCTTGTCCTCAAGAATTCATAATCTGGGCCGGGCATGATAGCTCATGCCTGTAATCCCAGCACTTTGGGAGGCTGAAGTGGGCAGATCACTTGAGGTCAGGAGTTCGAGACCAGCTTGGCCAACATGGTGAAATCCTGTCTCTACTAAAAATATAAAAATTAAAAATATGGAAAATATAAAAATTAGCTGGGCATGGTGGTGCACGCCGGTAATCCCAGCTACTCAGGAAGCTGAGGCAGGAGAATTGCTAGAACCTGCCAGGCAGAGGTCACAGTGAGGCAAGATTGCACCACTACACTCCAGCCTGTGTGACAGAGTGAGACGCTGTCTTAAAAACAAAAAAGAATTCACAATCTGGTTGGGGAGATTAAGTAATCAATATTAATCAATTGAGTGTGTTAAATTGTGGGGGTTCTGCTGGAAAAGGAATTTAAAGAAAGAAGTTAGTTTAGACCAAATAGCCAAAGAGGCTTACATATAAGATTTGAACATAGTTGGCCTTGAAGATGAGTCGGATTCTCTAAACAGCGGGAAGAAATCTAAATAAAGAGAGAAGAGGTAAAGCTCTGAAAATCTATAAAAGCATGAAAAGGCGAGAATTGGCAAAAAAGAAAATTAAAATTATGCTATATCTCATTTATTTTCCCAAAAGGTCATAAACAGAAAGGATTCATAATCAGTTTAATAAGAAAATGTGGTTTTATATTACTTGGGGAAAAAAGTCCATAGAAATTAAATTTAAAAAAATTAAGAAAAAAACATGGTTTTATACTTTTATACATTAAGAGACTCTGAATGCCAACAGGTTAGGGAATAGGCTCAGTTCTTCTCAATGCCTTTCTCGCCCAATACCCTTAGATAGTTTCTGAAAAATCTTGAAGAGATTGGTCAAGTTTATAGTAAAATATACTGAAAGAGCCCACTATGAGTTCCTCTGCTTTTATGGTAGTCTAGTAACATAATCTATAGCCTCAACTCAGATAAACATATTAAAATATAATATACATATACTACCCACCTATATGTTTGTGTGTGTTCTTACCTCAGGTCCTGTGGGATTTGCATAAAGCTGTATAAGGGAAAATAAACAGCATTTAATTTCTGGAATTTACTGGATTACTCCTCATAGAGTACATTTTTTATATAGAGTTCAATTTGTGCTCTATTAGTATATACATATTTTAAGCTAGAGATAGGCTATGCTTATTTTGTGAATGCAGAGTCTTAGAATATTCTATGAGCACTGAATAAAATGAAATTAATAATGAGACATTTATAATTACCATAACTGAGCTACAAATAAATTCTAAATAATCCATTATGGCTTAAAATTTGTTCAGTAAATCACAGATCTAAGACTCTCAATGGCATCTTCTCATTTTCTAGTCTTAACTACATATAACATGTTAAACTCAAAGGTATACAGAATTTTGAGTCTACCAAACTTCAAAAAACAAAAAATTTGGAGTCTGTAAAGTAACTAAAAAAATAAAATCCTGAAAGCCAATAAATGAAGCAGATAGTACAGCCTATATATTTTCCCATGTATTATACCAAAGAAATATACAATTCATAATTTTTTAAAGACTTTTAATAGATCTTATGTTTTTAATTTCCAAGACAGATAAAGAAAATCAGGTAGGAAGAGGGAGAATAATGTTTTAATGTTTCACTTGCCAACAGACAACAAAATAGAGACCAAGGCTTGGTCTTTAAATGAGTATGTACTTACTGTCAGCACTGCCATACGTAGCTTCCAGAGAAAGAAAAAAACTAGTGTTATTACATACTTGCACCTATATTATCACTCTTTTTAATAGACTAATTAAAATATTATATTTCAAAGAGGTTCCAAAGATTTGGGTAGGAAAAAAATATCCAGAAAGCCAGAAAGAAAGGATAGAGTCATCTGTCAGTATTGGAGAGGGAAATTAGTTCCAGGACTCCCTCTGAATACCAAAATCCGTGTGTACTCAAGTCCCTCAGGGAGTATATGAAAAGTCAGCCCTCCATATCTGGGTTTTGCATACACAAATACTGTATTTTCTCTTTTCATTCTTTTTTTTTTTTTTTTTTTTTTTTTTTTGAGACAGAGTCTCACTCTGTTGCCCAGGTTGTAGTGCAGTGGCATGATCTCTGCTCACTGCAACCTCTGCCTCCCGGGTTCAATGGATTTTCCTGCCTCAGCCTCCCGAGTACCTGGGATTACAGGCACCCGCCACCATGCCTGGCTGATTTTTGTATTTTCAGTAGAGACAGGGTTTTTCCATGTTGGCCAGGCTGGTCATGAACTCCTGACCTCAAATGATCCTCCCATCTTGGCCTCCCAGAGTGCTAGAATTACAGGCATAAGCCACTGCCCCAGGCCTGTATTTTCAATCTACCTTTGGTTGCAGATGTGGAAGCCACAGATACAGAAGGCCAATTTTATTTACTGAAAATAATCCATGTATAAGTGGGCCCATGAAGTTCAAATACATGTTGTTCAAAGGTCAACTATACTTTTTTTCGGGAGGGTCAAAATTAATTTTATGCTAAAAATTTAATATATGAAGCCAGGTGCAATGGCTCACGCCAGTAATCCTAGCACTTTGGGAGGCAGAGGTGGGTAGACTGCCTGAGCTCAGGAGTTCAAGACCAGCCTAGGCAACATGGTGAAACCTGTCTCTACTAAAATACAAAAAATTAGCTGGGAGTGGTGGTATGTGCCTGTAATCCCAGCTACTCGGGAAGCTGAGACAGGAGAATTTTTCAAACCCGGGAGGTGGAGGTTGCAGTGAGCTGAGATTGCACCATTGCACTCCAGCCTGGGTGACAGAGCAAGACTCTGTCTCAAAAAATATATGTATATATATTATATGTTAACAATTTGGATAGCAATTTTTTTGCATTACAAAGGGGAATTTCCTAGATATCTAAAAATTGATTCTTTGCTATAGTTTTTTTCTCTCCATTTCTGAATGACTAGCATTTTTAAATTTATATATTGTACATATTTTGGGAGTACATGTGATATTATTGTACATATTTTGGGAGTACATGTGATATTTTGATACCTATATACAATGTGTAATGAGTTCAACTGTACTTTAAGTCATTTCTAGATTACTTACAATACCTATTACTATGTAAATGTTATATAAATAGTTGTTACACTGTTATTTTTTATTTGTATTATTTTTTATTGTTGTACTGGTTTTTTTTCTAAATATTTTCGAATTGGTTGAATCTGTGGATAGAGAATGCTCTGATACATGGAGGGCCAACTGTACTAATTATTCACTCATTCAAGTGAGTGCCTGTTATATACCCAGGGCTCTGCTGGAGAGGAGAGAGACAAAAAAGATAACTATCCCTACTCTCAAAAAGTTATATTTTAGTTCTGGAGGCAAAAGATACATAAAATAATTCATTATTACTAAATAATTAAATATGCTACAAGTACATCAAAAAGTATCCCATTTGAAACTAGTCTACTAAAGTAAAAATGTCTTATATGTCCATAAAGTCCTTGTCCTCCCTACATATAATACTACTATGAACAGATTATCTCTGCTTGAAAGAGTAATATATAGACATAGATAGAAATATAATCAAGCCAATGATAATTGTTTTTAAAAACTAGAATACAAATCAGAAAATTTCAGGCCAGGCACAGTAGTTCATGCCTATACTCCCAGCACTTTGGGAGGCCAAGGTGGGCAGATCACTTGAACCCATAAGTTGAAAGCCAGCCTGGGAAACATGGTAAGATGCCATCTCTACAAAAAAGTAAAAAAAATTAGCTAGGCATTGTGGTGCACACTTGCGGTCCTAGCTACTTGGGAGGCTGAGGCAGGAGGATTGTTTGAGGCCTGGAGGTTGAGGCTGTAGTGAGCCGTGATCGTGCCAATGCACTCCAGCTTAGGCAACATAGTGAAACCCTGTAAGAAAGAACAAGAGAAAGGGAGAAATAAAAGAAAGAGAAGAAGAAAGAAAAGAAAAGAAGAGAAAAGAAAAGGAAAGAGAAAATTTTCAGAACCATGATTTCATTTTGAAGGACTAAAACTTTACTGCCACTCTGTGGCCATTTTGGTTACTGCATATAATTGATTTTAAGACTGCATAGTGAAATACACTTTCATTAATTGAGTTCACTTATTTATGCATTCATTCAAAAATGGCCCCAACCTCAGGGAACATTCAGACTAGCAGGGGAGAACCACGTTAAACAAAGAAAAGCAAAGATAGCTGCATCATTATCATGGTGTTCATTGCTATGAAGAAGCGGCATGGGGTGCTATGAGAACATAAAATCAAGGGACCATCTAGGCCGGGGAGGAGGTTGTCAGGGAAGGCCTCCCTAGGGAAGCAACATTTAAGTGGAGACTTGAAGGATAAATTGGAGTTAGCTAGGCAAGGTGTATGGGGCAGGGGAGAGAAGCTTCCAGGCAAAAGGAATAATATACACAAAGGTAAAAAAAAAAAAAAAGAAGCTTGGCATGTTCTAGATTCCTTGTGTGGCCTGAAGATGGGAACAACAGCGATGCCCTGGCCAGGCAGACAGGGATCATACAGGCCTTGCAGACCATGTGAAGGACTCTGAACTTTATTTTAAAAGCCATGGAAAATTTTTAGGCAAAAGAATGACATGATCAGACTTGGGTTTCTGAAAGTATGCAGTGTGGACAGTGGATTGGAATGGTGAGGAATAGAGAATGGGAATAGGGAAACAAGCTAGGTAGCTGTATACAATATAGTCTCTTTTTTACAATAATTATCTACAGCACTGATATGTGCTTATTTTAAAGAATTCAAGCATAATATAAAGTACTTAAAAAGTATAAAAATCACCCAAAATTTCACAACTAGAGATAATCATGCTCTTACAGGAGAATATCATATCTTTTAAGATCTCTAGATACTCAAAGTTGATTTTACTCAAACTATTTTCATTTATTTATTTGAGATAAAGTCTTGCTCTACTGCCTAGGCTAGAGTGCAGTGGCACAGTCTCAGCTCACTGCAACCTCTACCTCCCAGGTTCAAGCAATTCTCCTGCCTCAGCCTCCCAAGTAGCTGGGACTACAGGCACAAGCCATCATGCCCAGCTAAATTTTTTTGTTTTTATAGCAGAGACAGGTTGTCACCATGTTGCCCAGGCTGGTCTCTAACTCCTGGGTTCAAGAGATACCCCCTGTCTTGGCCTCCCAAAGTGCTGGGATTACAAGTGTGAGCCACTGTGCCCAGCCTTAAACTACTTTTTTTTTTTTTTTTATCCAATCTTGCTCTGTCACCCAGGCTGGAGTGCAGTGGCATGATCTAGGCTCACTGCAACCTCCACCTCCTGGGTTCAAGCAATTCTCGTGCCTCAGCCTCCTGAGTAGCTGGGATTACAGGCATGTGCCACCTGGCTAATTTTTTCTGTGCTTTTAGTAGAGACGGGGTTTTACTATGTCGGCCAGGGTGGTCTCGATCTTCTGAACTCACGATCCAACTGCCTTGGCCTCCCAAAGTGCTGGGATTACAGGCATGAGCCACTGTGGCCGGCCCAAACTACTTTTAAAACATATCGTACACACTTGAGGAAAGTTATAAAAGATTAACAACTGAAAAACACTATAAATACTATTTACTTAAGAGTCTAAGTCATCTATCTAAAATTTTGTCTTTTGATCTCTCCAAAACAAGTTATTTTGACTGAGTCAGTCACACAGGTAGTCATTTAGTAAAATAGATTCATCAAACTAGTTACTCTTTGTACATTATACTGCTATTTTAGTACATGTAATACTACAATTTTTTATTTAAGAAGTGATTCTTTCTATTACACTGTGACCTCCCTGAGAGTGGAATCACCTATACTCATTTTAATCTCATCCAATACCTAGGCACAATGTCTGGCAAAGATTAAAGAGCCAATGTATAAAGAATGTATAGTTAACACATATATAGTGTTTATTATGTGCCAGGTATTCTAAACATTTTAGATCAGTGGTTCTCAAATTATGGTCCCTAGAGCAGCAGTCAAGAGCATCACAGGTAACTGATCTGAAATGCGAATTCTCCCATCAGAAGTTTTGCGGTGAGGCTTGACAAACGGTGTTTTAACAAGTCCTCCGGGTGTTTCTGACGCAACCTAAAGGCTGAGAACCACTGCTTTAGATTGTTAACTCATTTAATCTCAAAAACTTTAACAGGTAGATTCTATTATTATTCCCATCTTCTACGCAAAGAAACTAAGGTACCAAAAGGTAGGTTACTTGCCAAAGGTCACACAAGTATTAAGTAACAGAACTTGGATACTTCAGACCATCGGACTCCAAAACTTGAACTTCTAACTATATTGTACTGCCCCGCAATGAGGGACAGTCAGGAAATGTTGCTAAATGAATGGATGAAGAGGAATGAATGAGCACTCTTCAATATGCCAGTGATGGCCTTCTTCCCCACTGAATCTGCCCAAATATTCAGGGCCTTCAAAGCTCAAAAGCTATTTTCTCTGAAAAGATTTATCTCTTGTTCCTCACAGGATATAGTGTCTCCTTTCCCATACTTTCCATTGCACATGATCAGTATCTTTCTTTTGGCATGCATCCCTTTCTAATGAGCATTACAGGGGTGTTGATCAAAATATCTCTGATATTTTTACATAAATATATCAAACTGATATTTTAAAAGATCAATATATAGGCCAGAAACGGTGGCTCACACCTATAATTCCAGCACTTTGGGAGGCCAAGGCAGGCAGATCACTTGAGGTTGGGAGTTCAAGAGCAGCCTGGCCAACGTGGTTAAACCCCGTCTCTACTGAAAATACAAAAATTAGCCAGGTGTGGTGGTGCGTATCTGTAATCCCAGCTACTCGGGAGGCTGAGGTAGGAGCATCACTTGAACCTGGGAAGTGGAGATTGCAGTGAGCCGAGATCACGCCACTGCACTCTAGCCTGGCTGACAGAGTGAGACTGTCACCAAAAAAAAGTAATAAATAAATAAACATGTAAAGCCCAATATGATATAGATACTGGCCAATCAGAAAGGATGTCAATTTAGCCCTAGAGCTGGGCTCCTGGAAGCAACCCTTGGACTAGGTATTAACCCTTTAGTTACTGGATTTTGGAGTGTTCTGGATCCAAGAGAGACACCGGTAAAGTGAGAGGGAGGATATTGTTGGGAGCCACATGAGGTCTCAGAAAAGCAGCTATTTACCATTCAATACAGAAATATTTCAATATTTTAACAGCAAATACAGCTGAGTCAGTATGTAACAGCTAATCATCAGCCCTGCAAATGAATACTTATTTTCTGCCATAAGCTCTTTCCCACTTCTGTTTTTTCTTTGTATTCCTCAGTCCCTCTGGTCAGTGTTGAATAAATCATAAGTAACAAATGTGCAGTGGAAATAGAAATGTATGAATGTGCTAAATAATCCAGTGTAAGCCTTCCTGACCTCAAGATTTCTTAAAGAGACAGGAATTGAGGAGTAAAAAGAAGACATAGATGGAGAAAATGGGGAAAAGCGGTTGCAGAAATTTCAAATATTTATAGGCCTTGGCTGCCACTGGAGAGCAGCAGCCATGGCTCTGCTCTACCCTACAGCCATGGGCCTCAGTAAGGGCCACAAGGTGACCAAGAATGTGAGCAATCCCAAACCCAGATCCCACCACAGGTGCCTGACCAAACACACCAAGTTTGTGTGGGATATGATCCGAGAGTTGCAGTGTGGCTTCACTGTGTATGGGCAGCATCCCATGGAGTAGCTCAAGGTCTCAAGAACACACATCTGCACCAACAGGAAGCAGGAGGAGCTGAGCAATGTTCTGGCCACCATGAGGAAACTTGCTGCCAAGGACTGAGCCCCCTGCCTTGCCCTGCCCTCTGCTCATAATAAAAGCTGCACAGAAAGAGAGAGAGAGAGAGAGAGAGAGAGAGAGAGAGAGAGAGAGAGAGAGAGGAAGGAAGGAAGGAAGGAAAAGAAAGAAAGAAAGACATTTCGTTTATATACATCTTGTCTCTTCAACTAGGACTAGAGCCTCCATTTTGTACTCCCTTCATAGCTGTCTGGGGCAGTATGAAAAATCAAATGCACTTAAAATTTAAGCTGGATTTTTTAAAAAATTTGAGGTACAATACTAGCTATTGTAAGGGAATAGATTATACTTATGAACCAAACTTAGTTACCAAAATAACTAAGACAGAATAAAAACCAATTATTCAAGTCCACTTTTTCCTTTCATATCTGCAAATTGAATCACCACTATTCTAAATATGTTCAATGCACTAAATGCCAGATTCTTGTCTCTCCTGTCCCACATCCTGTGGTTCTCTTCCCCTGACTTCAGACGAAATTCTGTGGTCAAAAAGATATGAATATATAAAAGAGAAAACTGAGTTTTCTTTCTTTTTTTTTTTTTTATATAGAGATGGAATTTCACCATGTTGGTCAGGCTGGTCTCGAACTCCTGACCTTAGGTGAGCCACACATCTCGGCCTCCCAAAGGAGTTTTATTTCTAACTGATGTAAAGGAGACATCAACAGGACAATAAAGATATAAGATAACAAGAAATTAGTTTATGGATGCAAACATAGACACTGTTATACTGTTAAACACGACAATGAAATAAAAGTCTAATTTTTTTTTTAAAGAATAAATGACAAGTATTTGATTCCGATGTAAATTTAAAAGTATTCTTACGTATCGCTTTTCCAAAGCATCAAAACAACCTTGAATCCTGTCAAGAAATAAATGTTTGATGTCAATTGGACCACATGTAAAGCCAAAAAATTTCCAAGTACAGAATTCATTTACATTCTTTATTTTGATGTACATTAAGTTGATAACCATCTCACCTTTCCCATTTAATCATTTTTTAAAATTCCCAGCAACTTTTAATATGTTGATAGAACTTTATAAATAAGTGAGCAATTTTTTTGGATTCCATAATGCTTAGTACCCTGACATGCATATGATAAATTATCAATTTTTAAAATTTCTGTGGGTACCTAGTAGGTGTATATATTTAATATTTTATCACATTTTTAATTTTTATAGAAGTCAATTTTCTTTTGAAAACAAAGCTAAATCAGTGTCTTAACAATATATTGAGTTATAATTCTTACAAATTTCTATCAAATTACTTTTAAAAAGAAAGAGGGAAAGGAGGCCAGATGCGGTGGCTCATGCCTGTAATCCCAACACTTTGGGAGGCTGAGGAGGGCAGATCACAAGGTCAAGAGACCGAGACCATCTTGGCCAACATGGTGAAACCCCATCTCTACTAAAAAACACGGAAATTAGCCGAGCATGGTGGTGAACGCCTGTAGTCCCAGCTACTACGGAAGCTGAGGCAGGAGAATTGCTTGAGTCTAGTGGGTGGAGGTTGCAGGGAAGTGAGATCCCGCCACTGCACTCCAGCCTGGCGACAGAGCGAGACACCATCACAAAAAAAAAAAAAAAGAAAAAAGAAAAAAAGAAAGAGGGAAAGGGAAAGTAGGAAAGAAAGAAATGGTATTTAAAACAATTATCTTACTAAATAAGGTTTTATGGGTAATTTCAGCTGTAATAAAAATAATGTTATTCAACTTTTGTCGAATTTCTATTACTTACCATCTGATAATATGCAGTGACCCAGGACATTTTTTATCTTCTCGGAGGATTTTTAAACTGAGGTCTACAAAAACAGAAACACAGTCTATTTTTATCTACTAAATGACTGCTGTACTAAAATTGTCCATGCTAAATAGGGTATTTCCTTTAACTATTTTATTTATGTAACTTATTTAGTTTTATAGCTTATAAAAACATTTTGGATCTCTAAACGTCTACTTTAAAAATAAATTCCATGGTAATAAGTAGCTTAGTCTCAATTTTGATTACAGTTAGGAGTTCCCCCTTCAACAATGTAGCACAACTGAGTTGGCTGCAAAATCAATTTGTGTCCCTTCTTTGCCTCTACTGAATTCTAAGTAATTATGAGGTAGTATTGAGACTATCTCCATTGACCAACTTAAAATATACACCTCAATCTCAGTCATTTCTGTGTTATTTCTCTCCCTCTCAGTGAAAAGAAAGGAATAAAAAATTTCACATGGATTATTCTCAAGTATTTGTTTTTATCTGAAATCTACTTTTTTATACTTAGGAAGAATGGGAATATCATATTAAGAGTTTGGGTTTAGGCCAGGCTCACACCTGTAATCCCAGGACTTTGGGATGCTAAGGCAAGAGGATTGCTTGAGCCCAGAAGGTCAAAATCATCCTGGACAACCTAGTGAAACCTCACCTCTATAAAAATAATAATTTTAAAAAATTAGCTGGGCATAGTGGCACATGCCTATAGTCCCAACTACTCAGGGCTGAGGCAGGAGGATCACTTAAGCCTGGACAGTAGAAGCTGTAATCCTGTAATGATCATGTCACCACACTCCAGCCTGGACAATGAAATGAGACCCTGTCTCAAAATAAATAGAGTTTTGGTTTAAAGCAATCCAAAATCAATCACTGATTCGTGTGTGATTTTGCATAAGTAACTTCACCTTTTCATATTGTTTTCCTATCCTAAATTGATGTCACCTGTATCTCCATCAAGGGATATGAAAATTATTCCATGTTGATTTAACATTCAGAAATTACCAGAGAGTGACACAGAAGTATTAAGCATTTTTTTTTTTTTTTTTTTTTTTTTGAGACGGAGTTTTTGCTCTTGTTATCCAGGCTGGAGTGCAATGGCACAATCTCAGCTCACCACAACCTCCTCCTCCTGGGTTCAGGCAATTCTCCTGCCTCAGCCTCCTGAGTAGCTGGGATTACAGGCATGTGCCACCATGCCCAGCTGATTTTTTGTAATTTTAGTAGAGACAGGGTTTCACCGTGTTGACCAGGATGGTCTTGATCTCTTGACCTTGTGATCCATCTGCCTCGGCCTCCCAAAGTGCTGGGATGTATTAAGTATTTTTATGATGCATATTTCTTTAAGAACAAACATTGAAAGGGAAACATATAACTTCCATGATGACTGTCACAAAAAATAAAGCTATAGGGAATATAGGGTTATAGTGTATCACTGCCATTGCCTAGGGTAGTGAGTGGCACACAATATGTGTTTATTACCAAAAATATGCCTTTCTCAATTCTATGTTCCAGACAAAAGGGAAAACTGCAACTATATGTTAGATATAAATATATTCACTATTACAAATTTGTATCTCGTAGACCAAAAGATGTATATAGCACGTATGCATTTTACTGGTGCTCTTACATTGCTTACTTTTTTTTTTTTTTTTTTTTTTTTTAGGCCGAGTCTCACTGTATCACCCAGGCTGGAATTCAGTGGGGCAATCATGGCTCACCAGGCTCAGATGATCCTCCCACCTCAGCCTCCAGAGTAGCTGGAACTACAAGCGCCCGCCACTATGGTCAGCTACTTTTTTGTATTTTTTTGTAGAGACAGGGTTTCACTGTGTTGTTCAGGCTGGTCCTGGACTCCTAGGCTCAAGCAGTCTGCCCACCTTGCCTCCCAAAGTGTTATGATTACACTTTGGATTATAAGCATGAGCCACTGTGCCCAACCAAGAGAATTAGACTGAAATGAGGCCAAGGTATATCATTAAATACAAATGTAAGAAATTTAAGATTAGATTTTGAAAAATAACATCTTATAGGCAACTTGTAACTCTTTATATTTATTTTCCAAATGACAGTTCCCATTTTAGTGACAAGTCAACAAGATTCACAATCCAGTTTTTTTTTTTTTTTTTTTAATACTTTAAGTTCTGGGATACATGTGCAGAACATGCAGGTTTGTTACATAGGTATACATGTGCCATGGCGGTTTGCTGCACCCATCAACCTGTCATCTAGGTTTTAAGCCCTGCATGCATTAGGTATTTGTCCTAATGCTATCCCTCCCCTTGCCCCCAACTCCCTGACAGGCCCTGGTGTGTGATGTTCCCCTCCCTGTATCCATGTGATCTCATTGTTCAACTCCCACTTATGAGTGAGACCATGCAGTGTTTGATTTTCTGTTCCTGTGTTAGTTTGCTGAGAATGATGGTTTCTAGCTTCATCCATGTCCCTGCAAAGGACATGAATTCATTCTTTTTGTGGCTACATAGTATTCCATGATGTATATGTGCCACATTTTCTTTATCCAGTCTATCATTGATGGGCATTTGGGTTGGTTCTATGTCTTTGCTATTGCAAACAGTGCTGCAATAAACATATGTGTGCATACGTCTTTATAGTAGAATGATTCATAATCCTTTGGGCATATACCCAGTAATGGATTTGCTGAGTCAAATGGTATTTCTGGTTCTATATCCTTGAGGAATTGCCACACTATTTTCCACAATGGTTGAACTAATTTGCATTCCCACCAACAGTGTAAAAGGGTTCCTATTTCTCTACATCCTCTCCAGCATCTGTTGTTTCCTGACTGTTTAATGATTGCCATTCTAACTGGCATGAGATGGTATTTCATTGTGGTTTTGATTTCCATTTCTCTAATGACCAGTGATGATGAGCTTTTTTTCAGGCTTGTTGGCTGCATAAATGTCTTCTTTTGATATGTGTCTGTTCATATCCTCTGCCCACTTTTTGATGGGGTTGTTTGTTCTTTTCTTGTAAATCTGTTTAAGTTCCTTGTAGATTCTGGATATTAGACCTTTGTCAGATGGATAGATTGCAACAATTTTCTCCCATTCTGTAGGTTGCCTGTTCACTCTGATGATAGTTTCTTTTGCTGTACAGAAACTCTTTAGTTTGATTAGATCCCATTTGTCAATTTTGGCTTTTGTTGTAATTGCTTTTGGTGCTTTAGTCATAAAGTCTTTGCCCATGCCTATGTCCTGAATGGTATTGTCTACATTTTCTTCTAGGGTTTTTATGGTTTTAGGTCTTACATTTAAGTCTTTAATCCATCTTGAGTTAATTTTTGTATAAGGTGTAAGGAAGGGGTCCAGTTTCAGTTTTCTGGATATGGCTAGCCAGTTTTCCCAGTGCCGTTTGTTAAATAGGGAATCCTTTCCTCATTATTTGTTTTTGTCAGGTTTGTCAAAGATCAGATGGTTGTAGATGTGTGGTGTTATTTATGAGGGCTCTATTCTGTTCCATTGGTCTACGTATCTGTTTTAGTACCAGTACCATGCTGTTTTGGTTACTGTAGGCTTGTAGTATAGTTTGAAGTCAGGTAGCATGATGTCTCCAGCTTTGTTCTTTTTGCTTAGGATTGTCATGGCTATATGGACTCTTTTTTGGTTCCATATGAAATTTAAAGAAGTTTTTTCTAATTCTATGAAGAAAATCAATGGTAGCTTGATGGGAATAGCATTAAATTATAAATTACTTTGGGCAGTATGACCATTTTCACAGTACACAATCCAGCTTTTTAAACACATAACATTTTGAAAAATTGTTGAGTCTTAGGTACTTAGATTTTTTTGTTGGTTGGTTGGTTTGTTTTTTATCAAAGCTTTGCTCTTGTCACCCAGGCTGGAGTGCAATGGCATGATCTTGACTCATTACAATGTCTGCCTCCAGGGTTCAAGTGATTCTCCTGCCTCAGCCTCCCACATAGCTGGGATTACAGGCACCCACCACCACGCCCAGCTAATTTTTGTATTTTCAGTAGAGACAGGGCTTTATCATGTTGGTCAGGTTGGTTTCAAACTCCTGATCTCAGGTGTTCCACCCACCTCAGCCTCCCAAAGTGCTGGAATTACAGGCATGAGCCACCACACCTGGCTGGTACTTATTTTTATAATAAGAGAAGAAAAAGAACCAGAAATGGCTTGTAATATAAGACAACAAGATAAGTTTAAGGGCACTGAAACAAAAGGAATGAAAGTAGAAGACCTGGCAATTGAGATAAAAGCTTGAACTGATTAGAATAATAATTGTCTTAATATCCATGTTAATCAACAAATGAGTTTGGCATTTTTTCCCCAGCATTTTTTAGTACATTAACAGGGAGAAAAGTGTTTCACCTTTGAACTTCCTCAATGCCAAAGTGTGCCTTAAACAACAAATTCAATTAAGGCACAGAATAGTGCAAATCTACAGCGTTCAAATAGATTTTGATCTGGCTGTTGCTTTTATACTGGTCTTGTCCAAACAGGTTTCTTTTTTCCTCCATCTGTCACCTGGCATCTAGCCAGGAACTAGTAATTCCTATGAGTAAAATCACTACACACAGTAAAATTAAAATAGAAAATGAATTAGCAAATTGTCTTGAAGAACAGGCCCTTAAGTTGGAATTAGCACACTTTGTGATAAGTGAAAGCTTTATTACTGCTAAATAGAGAAAGGGGCTACAACAGCCAAAGAGACTATTTAGTTTAACTTTACCATCCAAATGGCGTTCTCCGTAAGAGCTCTCTGGAAACAGGCCCCTTAGGTATGCTATACATGAGATGGAAATAGCAAAAAGTTTCTTCACGATTTTCAATGACTCATGCCCATTAGTGATTTGGGATGGGAAAACTGTTTCCTGGAAAAACAACGAAGGTGAAAAAATATTAGTATTCTTTAATATATTCAGTCCAGCACATCATTACCACAGATATGATGAAAAGATTTCTCAAGACTTCAAATTCGATATCTTTAAAGGTAATCAAAAGGAAACAGAGCTTTGAATATTATATTAAATTAGATCTTCATAGGCAAGGCAGAGCAAAAAGGCAGAAACAATTACCCAAGTAATTCAAGATTAAAACAATTGATTTCACAATGATACATAAATAAGAGGCAAAACTGGAGTTTTACTATGATTACATAATCTCCTTCCCTCTTATACACTCCTTGGACCCCACTGCAATCTGGATTTTACCCCTCTCTTTTCTATGCTATTCTCTCCAAAGTCACCAAGTACAATCCCATCGTTGACCTCTTCTCATTCCTCATAATATATAACTTCTTTGTATTATCTGTCACTGTTACACACATACTGTCTTCTTCTCCAAGGTGCCATAACACTATTTTGGTTTTTCACCTATCCCTTCATATCTGTCTCAGTCTCTTTTATTTTTTCTAGTTGTTCTACCCTTTAAATATTGGTTCTCCCCTTCTCCCCCAGGACTCTGTCTTCAGGCCTTTTCTCTTTTTAGAGCTGTCTTCTTGAATAATCTCATCTAGTTTCATAGCTTCAGCTACAGCCTATACAGAAAGGATTTCAAATCCCTATTTCTGTTCTGAGTCTCAGTTCTATACTTTTATTTCTTGAACATCTGTGCCTAAACCACCTTGTAGATCCCTTAAACTCAGTTTATCTCCAACACCCCTGGCTAAAACCTGATCCCAAGTCTCATTCTCAGACTAGTGAATCAGCATTACTCTACTCATCCAAGCTAAAAGCAGCTTCATCTTTGTCTTCTCTCTCCTTCATACCCCACTAAATTCTATTAATTCTCTCTGAAAGAGTTCTCAAATCTATTTTCTCCTTTCCCTTCTCACTGCCACTGGCTTGACTAAGGACAAACTCAATTCTCCCCTTGATTACTGTAGTAGTACCTGATCTCTTTGCTGATAATTATTTTATTCAATCTGTCTTCCATATTGCCATCAGAATTAATTTTCAAGGACACAAATCTTTTCATGATACTCCCAGTGTTCATTTAGAATAGAGTTCAAGTACCTTAGAGTGGGATTTGAGAACTGTCAAAATCTTATTCTTGTCTAGCTCCCCTGCCTCATCTCACATCCCTTCCTCTCTGCCCACAGTCCCTTATTCTCTCCCATGCACCCTATTCTCCAGCCACGTGGAACTGTGGCTATTCATCTACTATTCTACTGCCATGTTTTTCCATACTTTTGTGTTTTGCTTAAGCCAGAGCTCTGAGGAATACTAAGCTTTTGTAAGATGTCACAAAATGTTCTATTAAAAGTATCAATACGAGCAATAGTTCCTCACTAAATTTTATCTGTGTGTATATATACAACATAGTAAACAAACTTAAATCATTGTTCTTAAATGATTAGTCTTCCTTAAGAAATAGTGTGCCATAAAAGGAGTGTGATAAGAGAGTGAGCAATACACGAATTTGTGACTTTTGCTTCAGTATGTAAAGAGTGTCTACCAAGAGTCATCTTGCATATAGAATATTTGCTGATGGATAGGTCGTGTCAGTATCTCAAATTATCATTTTGATATATGTTTGACATACTATGTTTATTGTATATACAATGTTTATTGTGTTTATGTATTAACATAAAAATAAAAATTTCATGTTTGTCATAATTACTCCGTGAAACTGCTTTTTGCTGTCTTCTTTAAGCTAAGCAGAAAATACGTCTCATGAATTCCAGCTGGTGTTGTGTTAATACATTATAATTTTAAAGTATTTTCTAAATATTAACAAATTAGATTATATTAAACTTTAGAACTTCTGTTCATTAATATACTATTAAGAGCAAAGAGGCAACTCAAAGGTGAGAGAAACTATTCTCAATACATAGGTTTTACAAAAGATTCATATCTAGAATGTATAAAAAACTAAAATTCTTTAAGAAAGACAATCAAATAGAAAGGTGTCTATTTATGTGAAAATAGACACTTTATAAAAGAGCCTATCCAAATGACCAAAAAACAGATGAACAAGTGTTTAAACTTTATCAGGGAAGTGAGCGTTAAGATCACAAGGAGGCTGGGTATGGTGGCTCACACCTGTAATCCCGGAACTTTGGGAGGCTGAGGCAGGCAGATCACTTAAGGTTAGGAGTTCAAGACCAGCCTGGCCAACATGGTAAAACTCCCATCTCTATTAAAAATACAAAAATTAGCCAGGTATGGTGGAGGACGCCTACAATCCCGCTACTCAGGAGGCTGAGGCAGGAGAAGCACTTGAACCTGGGAGGTGGAGATCACAGTGAGCCAAGATTGTGCCACTCCAGCGTGGGTGGCAGAGTAACACTCTGTCACTGAGAGTTTTAAAAAAAATGTAGAATAATAAAAACTCCTAAACCTCTTTGGAAAATTGCTTGGCAGTATCTAATAAAGCTAAATACACACATATCCTATGACCTATATTTTACTCATAGATATATATCTAACACATATGCTTATATGTTCACTAAAGAACATGTATTAGAGTATTCAGAAAAGCATTATATGTAATAGACCCAAGCTGGAAACCACCCGAATGCTCACCAACAGTAGAATGAATAAAACTGTGGTATATACCCCCAATGGAATATTATATAACAATGAGAATGAATGATCTATAACTATATTAAGTAATGTAGATGACTCTCACACACAAGGCTGAGCAAAAGAAACCAGATACAAATGAGTATTAGTGTATGATTTCATTTATATAAAGTACAAACGCAGGTGAGACTAATCTATGCTGTTAAATGTCAAGATGGTGGTTTCTCTTGGTGGGGACAGGAGATAATAACTAGAAAACAGGATCTCTTATTACTAGACTCTAGCCAAGACAGACAGCCATTTCCGACTTTTGAAATTCACCAAAGGTAATCCCCCAGGTGAAACAAGTAAGCCTTAACTAAGGTTATTACTTAAACATTAATGTATGAGGTGTTTTCAAACAGGTGATAAGCAGGTTGTACAATATCTAGAATCTCCAAAGGTAGCTCAGAGAAAGGCAAACTTAAGACAGGAAATCAGAAGCTGTCCATGAGAGAAAAAGAATCAATACATGGCAGAATTACACAGATAACAAAAAAAGGACTCATTCCCTAGGCCTGGAATTAAACCTGTGACACTACTGTAAAAGAGCAGAGGTTTAGCTTCTGAGTTAATACACAGGGTAGCCACCATTGCTCTTCCTAGAAGGAGGCTAAGGCAGTCATTTTCGAGCTTGCAAAGGACTTAACTACTCAAGAAAATTCTTAAGCCTAGGTACAACACTATCATGTGTCCTTTCAGACTAACCTCTTGAAAATTCATGCCCTCTGGATGTCAGAGACCAAGAGAGGGGACCCCAACATGGTCCCAAAATCAAATTTTTTAGGTCATAAAATGAAAGGGAAACTTCATCTGGTATTGGTTTCAGGGACTCAAAGCAATGTTTGTAATGGACCAGTCTGCCAAACTAGCTTGAACAGTGGGCTTATAGGGGTCCTAAGCCTATGTTCTATCCTATGATACCCCTTTTTCCATTATAGAGTGACACAGAAAGATAAATTGATAGCACAAAGTACACCAGATTCCTTACAGCTAAGACTAGTCTCACAAATCCTTTTTTTTTTTTTTTCAGGTAATCAAACCCTTGCAGAGGAGACAGTGACATTTACCATTCACACACAGACACACACACACACACACACACACACACAGAGAGAGAGAGAGAGAGAGAGAGAGAGAGAGAAAGAGAGAGAGAGAGAGAAAGAGAGAGAGAGAGAAAGAGAGAGAGAGAGAAAGAGAGAGAGAGAGACAGAGAGAGAGAGAGAGAGACAGAGAGAGAGAGAGACAGAAAGAGACAGATACAGGGAGAGACCAAAAGCCTGGCTGGTAAGAAATTCTTATCCTTTTTGCTAGCACACCAGATTTCCAGGTTCTCTTTGTCTGCAGCTTCCAAAAGAACAGAATGGCTTTTGAAGATCCTGCTTGCTGCACCATAGCTGGGAGGGCCAAGCTGTGTTACAAAAGAAAATCATCCTTTTCTGTTTTATGGAACCATAGACAAAAGCCTCTCAGTTTTGCCAGATGCCTCCCAATGGGCTGCACATGGGCACAGAATTAACATTTTCTAGCCCAGTCGAGCCAAATACAAATAACAAAACAGATACAGGTCACCTCACCCAGCACCCAGTATTGATCTGGCAAGGCTCAAACTTTTTCCCATTGGTTTCTGTTGTCTTTGATCCACTCAAGGTGGGGAGGGATAACCTCCAACCAGGAATTCAGGGATCTGGACAAGATGAAGGAGTAAATGGTCACTCTGAGTAAGACATGTTGAGCTTCCACTAACAATTTCTTCAGGGTTCATGAAATGTGACCAGACTTAAGGAGGGTTCTCAGAGTTAGACATAAGTGACTTCTGTAAGCAACAGAAAGCCTTCCAAACTAAGATCCCTAACCAAGAATTCCAGTAGTATTCCTTTCAAACTAACATCCTGTTCTCTGTCTGAGAAATCTCCCCGAAATCTTCCCAATTGAAGAGAAATTTCCTGAACCAAGACTCTACCATTTACAGAGAGCCAAACAATACCCCCAAAGGAGCTAAACCAAGACCCTAAAGGAGCTGAACCAATAGGGAGAAGGACAGAGGTATTGGCATCACTGACAATACCCACCAGACTTGTTTAAAAATGTCTTTCCAGGAACTATTTCTCTATTGCAATTAAATCCATGCACCATGGATTGGCAGTGCTCCACTGGTAGAGACAGTGCCAGAGTCAGCCCACAGTCCAAGAGAACTAGGCAGCCCCTTGGTCTAGCCTTTGGATCCATCACCAGAGAGGGGCTACCAAACCGCAGGCAGGTAGCCACAAGGGCGATCCTGGACAAGCTCCCAAATTTTTAACTACCCAACAGGTTCTCCTTACCTGCTGCCTAGACACAGTTTATTTATCAAGACAGAGGAATTGCAATCGAGAAAGAGTAATTCACAAAGAACTGAACGTACAAGAGACGAGAATTTTATTATTACTCAAATCAGTCTCCTCAAATTCTTGGGGCTCTGTCTAGGCAACAGGCAGAGAGCCCACTGGGTGGTTACAATGTCTTATACATTTTTGTGAATCCACTACCTAGGTCAGTGTTTGGCACCTACATTTCAGTAAATAAATGTTTGCTAAACTAAACAACAAGCATTTACTGATTGCCAGTGTTCGTAACATAATGAGAATGCAAAGAGATCAAAAGACTAACCATGTAGAATATAAATCCCATTAATTTAAAAATATGTGTGGTAGTGTATGTGTACATAGAAAAAGAAAGAATAAAGGAGCCTTAGATCTACTAAGTTTAGTAAATATGATTCAATGTTAAAAGGAAAAAGCAAATTTCTGAGTAATGCTTATAGAATGATTTTATTTTGTAAAGTGAATAAACAAATCCCTATATTGCTATATATGATCAACCCACATTATTAGTAGATTCCATATTTGTGACTTTGTCTACTCACTAAAATTTGTAACCCTCAAATTAGCACTCTTTCGTTTTTGTGATTATGCATGGATATGAGCAGAGAAACAACAAATTTGAGTTATCTGAAGCACACATTCCCAGCTGATGTCAAACAAGGCCATGCTCTGCCTTCTTGTTTCAGCTCTCATACTATACACATGTCTCTTTCTTGGTCCACTTAGTACCCTAGTTTTTGTATTTTTCTTTTTTGTGTGTGATTTTGCTGTTTAAAATGGCTCCTAAGTGTAGTGCTGAAATGCTGATTAGGGTTCCTAAATTCAAAAACATTGTGATAGAGCTTACAGGGAGAATACATGTGATAGATTTTTTTTTTTGAGACGGAGTTTCGCTCTTGTTACCCAGGCTGGAGTGCAATGGCACGATCTCGGCTCACCGCAGCCTCCGCCTCCTGGGTTCAGGCAATTCTCCTGCCTCAGCCTCCTGAGTAGCTGGGATTATAGGCACGCACCACCATGCCCAGCTAATTTTTTGTATTTTTAGTAGAGACGGGGTTTCACCATGTTGACCAGGATGGTCTCGATCTCTTGACCTCGTGATCCACCCGCCTCGGCCTCCCAAAGTGCTGGGATTACAGGCTTAAGCCACCGCGCCTGGCCTGATAGATTATTTTTTTACTTTTTTAGAGACAGGGTCTCACTCTGACCCAGGCTGGAGTACAATGGCACTATCATAGCTCAGTACAGCCTCAAACTCCTGGGCTCAATCAATCTTCCTGCCTCAGCCTCCCAAGTAGCCAGGACTACAGGCACACACCACCACATCTGATTACTTTAAAAACTTATTTTGTAGTGACAGGGTGTCACTGTTTCCCATGCTGGTCTCAAACTCCTGGTTTCATGGGATCCTCGCACGCTGGCCTCTCAAAGTACTGGAATTAGAGGCATGAACCATATGCCCAGCCTGTATGTTAAATAATTATCATTCAAGCATGAGTTATAGTGTTGTTTGCTGTAAGTTTAATGTTAATGAATCAATAATATATATTAAATGTCTCTAAACAAAAACAGATATAAAACAAATTATATGATTGGCTGACAAAAATACCATGACCAGAAGATCACAGGAACTGAATCCTATATTTCCCTAAGAGCAGCAGTTCAGTACTTGCTAATTCACTCCTCATAACAACTTGATAGAACATGAATATCAGGAAAAACTAGAATCAGTTCTGTGTGTGTATAGATGATTGTGTATGTATGTATAAGAGAGGAAAAAGGAGTAGAAATAAGTGGGTGAAGTTATTAATACTAATCACTTCAGAGGGTGACTTGAGGATAGAGGGATATGAGGGAGGCAACATGGTGGAGTGTCTAAAAGCATAGACTTTGAAGCCAAACAGTCAGATGCAAATCTTTGTTCTGCTACTAACAAGCTGTATGGTCTCCAGAAGGGGTCAGTAAGCTTTTTCAGTAAAAGGCAGATAAATATTTCAGACTCTGCAGTTAATTTCATGCCATTGTAGCATGAAAGATGCCACAGACACTTTACAACTGAATGGGCGTGGCTGTAATCCAACAAAACTTTATAAGAACTGTTGGCAAGCTCCTAATCATACTTAACCTCTCTGCACCTCAATTCCTTCAACTGTAAAATATGGATAGTAGTTATACCTACTGTTTTTTTGTTTGTTTGTTTGTTTTTGAGACAGAGTCTTGCTCTGTTACCCAGGCTGGAATGCAGCAACAAAATCTCATCTCACTGAAACCTCCACCTCCCAGGTTCAAGTGATTCTCCTGCCTCAGCCTCCCAAGTACCTAGGATTATAGGTATGTACCACCATGCCCAGGCTAAATTTTTTGTATTTTTAGTAGAGACTGGGTTTCTCCGTGTTAGTCAGGCTGGTCTCAAACTCCCAATCTCAGGTGATCCACTCGCCTCGGCCTCCCAAAGTGCTGGGACTACAGGCGTGAGCCACCACTCCCAGCTGCTTATTTCTTATTTTGAGCCAAGGAATACGCTAGGTTTTCCTCAGGGACTTCTCTCCCCTCTCTGTAAATTATCTTCATCATTCAGGTCTGTTCACCTTCAGTCTTACCTCTTTTATAAGGAATATATAAAGCATTCCAGACCACATGAAATCTCTAAATTCCTATAATTTATATTATCTAACTTTTCACATATATATAAATCATATATCACTTTGTATATTGACTTAACTCCTAACCAGATTATAAACTTCTAGAAGATGAAGATCAGACTTTTGTATTTTGTCACTGAATAACACAGTATTATGAATTATTATATTATAAAATATTGAGTCTCAATGAATAAACAAACGATGCATTAATGAATGTCATGATACAAATTTTACTATATGCCTAGCCCTGGAATGCTCCCTTAGACTCCTAGCCTCGAAGTTTCTCTCAGTGCGCTCCCCTTCTGTTCTTATAGTTACACCATGGTGTGCAACACAAGTTTCCTAACACTTTAGGAAGCGAATGTTTAACAAAGAACCATTCTCTTTAAACATCTTGTTTATGATTTATTTTGCTCTAGAAGATCTAAACATATTGCATAAACATGAAACAAACACCCAGTAAGTAACTTTGTAGAAATTTATTTTAATTTTCTGATCCTTGGTCTATTAGGCAGTTAAAATGTACACATACTCTCCCAGAGTATTATGTGCCAATTAACTGATAAAACTGCTGCTTAAAAACACATACACACAAATCTTAAAATCATAATTCTAAACTAACTCATTAAATGGTCATTGATTTTCTTTTAATTCTTAACAAATACCTTAGATGCCTTGCGTATTGTGATGGAGTGAGAAAGCTGAGCTGTAGCCATTGTAGGAATGTATCAGGATTCTTTCAACAATCCTAACCTATTGAAAAAAAATTAATTAATTAGAGACCTTGCCAAATATAATGCTTTTTCCCTTACTTTGTCCAAAAATGATACTGAAAAAGTCTAAGAGCAAACAAAAAACTAAAATCAATAACAGTTAAGTATAAACTGTTTTCCAGATTGTTCAGTTTCGAAATAAATTTACCAAGCTACATTTTGAAGCAAAGGAAGAATAAATGTTAAGATAATTCTATCAGGCCCTATCTAAACTATAAAATGAATTTCAGTTGGAAAAAGTAGCTATTGTTAATTTTCCAAAGGAGAACTATAGAATTTGACACACTCATTGGGAAATAAGTTTAATAAACATTTTATCTACAAATTTGGTATAAGGTCTCTGGATTCATTTTCCATTTATTTAATGAAAATTATAAAATTATTTATTTGTTCACAAATATATTTGGAGGAGAAAAATACATCGTAAATCACCTAGAGACTCAATATATATTATTCATCCTTGTTATTCTCTCGGAGTAACAATGCTCTGTATATGGCAAAGGCTCAAAAATATTTCTTAAATTACTTCATGTGTAACTTATTTCCAAATTTAACTCAAAAGTTAATGTTTACACTTCATACCCATTAAAATAGCTATTCATCCAACTAGCTGAGAGAGAAATCTCATTTACAATACCTACCAAAAAATTAGCCAGGAATAAATTTAACCAAGAAAGTGAAAGATTGCTACAATGAAACTACGAAATGCTGATGAAAGAAATTGAACAGGGCCAGGCACAGTGGCTCATGCCTGTAATCCTAGCACTTTGGGAGGCTGAGGTGGGTGGATCACCTATGGTTGGGAGTTCAAGACCAGCCTTACCAACATGGAGAAACTCTGTCTCTACTAAAAATACATAATTAGTGGGAGTGGTGGTGCATGCCTGTAATCCCAGCTACTCGGGAGGCTGAGGCAGGAAAATCACTTAAACTTGGGAACTGGATGTTGTGGTGAGCCAAGATTGTGCTGTTGTACTCCAGCCTGGGCAACAGAGTGAAACTCTGTCTCAAGAAAAGAAAAGAAAGAAATTGAACAGAACACAAAAAAATAGAAAGGTATCCCATATTCATTGATTGGAAGAATTAGTATGGTTAAAATGATCATATTAATTATCCAAAATAATCTACAGATTCAAATGCAATCTCTATCAAAATACCAATTACATTCTTCATAGAAATGGAAAAAACAACCCTAAAATTCCTATGGAACCACGAAAGACTCTGAATAGCTAAAGTAATCCTGAGCAAAAAGAACAAAGCTGGAGGCATCAGATTACCTGGCTTCAAAATATACTACAAAGCTATAGTAACCAAAACAGCATGCTGCTGGTATACAAAGAGATACATAAAACAATGGAACAGAATAGATAACCCAGAAATAAATCCATATATTTACAGCCAACTGTTTTTTGACAAAGGCACCAAGAACATACACTGGGGAAAAAACACCCTTGTCAATAAATGGTTCTGGAAAAACTGGATATCCACAGCAGAAGAATGAGAGACCCTTGTCTCTCATCATATACAAAAATAAACTCAAAATAGATTAAAGACTTAAATGTAAGACTCAAAACTATAAAACTTAGGGAAAATGCTTCAGGACATTGGTCTGGGCAAAGATTTTATGGCTAAAACTTCAAAAGCACAGGTAACAAAAGCAAAAATAGACAAATGAGATTATATCAGACTAAAAAGCTTCTACACAGCAAAGTAAATAACCAACAAAGTGAAGAGACAGCCTATAGAATAGGAGAAAACATTTGCAAACTATTCATCCAAGAAAGAATTAATATCCAGAATATGCAAGAAGCACAAGCAACTCAAAAGCAAAAAAAAAAAGCAAAGGATCTACATAGACATTTCTGAAAAGAAGGCATACAAATAGCCAATAAGTATATGAAAAAGTGCTCAACATTATTAATCATTAGAGAAATGTAAATCAAAACCACAATGAGATATCATCTCACCACAGATAGAATAGCTATTATTAAAAGAACAAAAAATGGCCAGGTGTGGTAGCTCTTGCCTATACTCCCAGCACTTTGGGAGGCAGAGGTGGGTGGATCATCTGAGGTCAGGAGTTTGAAACCAGTTTGGTGAAATCCTGTCTGTACTAAAAATGTACACACACACACACACACACACACACACACGCACACACACATGCACACACATACATTAGCTGGGTGTGGTGGCACATGCCTGTAGTCCCAGCTACTCAGGAGGCTGAGGCAGTAGAATCTCTTGAAGCTGGGAGGCAGAGGTTGCAATGAGCTGAGATCATGCCACTGCACTCCAGCCTGGGCAACAGAGCAAGACTCCATCTCAAAAAATGAAATAAAATAAAATAAAAGGATAAGAAATAATGAATGCTGGCAAGGATGCAGAGAAAAGTAAATTCTTATACACTGTTGGTAGGAATATAAATTAGCATAAGCATTATGGAGAACAGTATGGAAGGTCCTCAAAAATCTTAAAATAGAAATTCCCTATAATCCAGCAATCCTACTAGTAGGTATTTATCCAAAGGAAAAGAAATCAGTATATGGAAGAGACATCTATACCTCCATATTTATTGCAGCACTATTCACAATAGCCAAGATATGGAATCAACCTAAGTGTCCATCAACAGATGAATACATAAAGAAAATACAGAGCACGAATTGGATAGGGATTCAAGATGGCCGAATAGGAACAACTCTGGAGTGCAGTTCCCAACAAGAACAACACAGAGGGTGAGTGATCATCATATTTCTAAATGAGTTATTACTGCCCACAGACCAGGAGATTCCCGGGCTGAAAAGTGCCACAAGTTTCCAGCATGGCTGTTTCAGCCAGCGCAGCGGGTCTCCACACAAAAACTCACACAAATCTGGACAGCCATTTCAACTGGTGCCTGGAATGCCTGGGAGACAGAGCCACCCATTCAATCTGAAAAAAACGGGACTGAAACAGGGAGCCTGGTGATCTGGCTTGGCGGGTCTCACCCCCACAGACCAGCAATCTGAAACACTCTGGATTAAGAGTCTCACAGGAAGCACAGCTGGACCCTGGACAGTCCAACTCTATGTGGGGAAGAACGTCCGCTATTACCAAGGCAGTCTGCCATTACCGAGGCAGTCCACCATTACCGAGGCAGTCCACCATTACCGAAGCAATCCACCATTACTGAGGCAGTCTGCCATTACAGAGGCAGTCCACCATTACTGAAGCAGACTGCCATTACCAAAGCAGTTCTAACTACACCTCTATAAACAAAACCGCAAAGAAGTTCACACAGCAGCTTGGCAGAGCCAACAGCAGCTCAGCAATGCCTCTGCTATCAGACTGTGACTAGGCTACCTCCTAGCTTGGCAGGGCATCTCTGAAAAAAGGTAGCAGCATGCCAGGAACTTATAAATAAAGCCCCACCTTCCCTGGACAGAGCACCTGAGAAAAAAGGTGGTTATGAGTTCCACTGCAGCAGACTTAAACGTACCTGCCCAGCAGCTCTGAACAGAACAATGGGGCTCACAGCTCAGCACTTGAGCTCCTGTGATGGTCAGACTGTCTCCTCAAGCAGCTCCCTGACCCCCGTATATCCAAAGAGACACCTCATAAAGGAGAGCTCAAGCTGACATCTGGCAGGTATCCTTCTGGGACAAAGATAACAGAAGAAGAAACTGGCAGCAACCCTTACTGTTCTGCAGCAGCTGCAGGTGATTCCCAGGCAGCAGGGTCTGGAGTGGACGTCCAGCAGTCCTACAGCAGAGGGGCCTGACTGTTAGAAAGAAAACTAAAAAAAAAACCAGAAAGAAATAACTTCATCATCAACAAAAAGGATGTCCACTCAGAGACCCCATCTGAAAGTCACCAACTACAAAGACCACGGGTAGATAAATCCACAGGAAGAAACCAGCACAAAAAGAACAAAAACACCTAAAACCAGAACACCTCTCCTTCTCCAAGGGATCACAACTCCTCACCAGCAAGGGAACAAAGCTGGATAGAGAATGAGTCTGATGAATTGACAGAAACAGGCTTCAGAATGTGGGTAATAATAAACTTCTCTGAGCTAAAAAACCATGTTCTAACCCAATGCAAAGAAACTAAGAACCTTGAAAAAATGTTTGACAAAATGCTAAAGAGAATAAACAGCTTAGAGAAGAATATAAATGACCTGATGGAGCTGAAAAACACAACAGGAAAACTTTGCAAAGCATACACAAGTTTCAATAGCCGAATCAACCAAGCAGAAGAAAGGATATCAGATTGAAGATCAACTCAATGAAATAAAATGAGAAGGCAAGATTAGAGAAAAAAGAGTGAAAAGAAATGAACAAAGCCTCCAAGAAATATGGGATCATGTGAAAAGACCTAATCTACATTTGATAGGTGTACCTGGATGTGACAGAGAGAATGAATCCAAGCTGGAAAACACTCTTCAGGATATTATCCAGGAGAACTTCCCCGACCTAGCAAGGCAGGCCAATATTCAAGTCAAGGAAATACAGAGAACACCACAAAGGTATTCCTCAAGAAGAGCAACCCCAAGGCACATAATCATCAGATTCACCAGTGTTGAAGTGAAGGAAAAAATGCTAAGGGGAGCCAGAGAGAAAGGTCAGGTTACCCACAGAGAGGTTAGGTTAGCCCATCAGACTCACAGCGGATCTATTGGCAGAAACCCTACAAACCAGAAGAGAGTGGGGACCAATATTCAACATCCTTAAAGAAAAGAGCTTTCAACCTAGAATGTCATATCCAACCAAATATAGGCCAGGAATGGGCAGCTAATGTCTGTAATCCCAGCACTTTGGGAGGTTGAGGCAGGCAGATAGCTTGAGCCCAGGAGTTCAAGACCAGCCTAGGCAGCATGATAAAATCCTGTCTATACAAAAATATACAAAAATTATCTGGCTGTGGTGGCACACACCTATAGTCCTAACTACTTGGGAGGTTAAGGTGGATCACTTGAGCCTGGGAGTTCAAGACTGCAGT